CTAAGCCATGGTGGGTCATCTTGTGGTAGAAGGGTGAGGAAGACTGAGCCATATAGTCCAGCGTCTTCAAAGTCTTCAGTCAATCTTCCTCCTTGCTGCGAACATTGCTTGAATATTCCTCGCTTGTATAACTTGATCGATATATATATATATGCAACCACGAGCACCACCGATCATGAATTCCTGTTCACTAACCCCGAGTTCATTGTTTATTTTGAACTGGCTGAACAAACTTGACACATTCAGCTATGGGTAATAAATCTTTAACCACAAACCCTACTTAATGTGTCACTACAATGGGTTTAAGTAAAATCACTACTTAATACACCTGTGAGATTTGATGCTTCAATATACCTGTACTTATAATCTGGGTAAAGTATCTTGAGTGTGATATTTAGACTTGGGTTTTTTTTTTTTTTTTCCTTCCACGAGTCAATTATTTTCCCATTCCAAATTCTGTAAATAATTTGTTTATGGTCTCGATTTGGCTGTATTTTAAGTTTCCGATCCTATGTATGTGTCAGTGTAGGGGAGTTGCCGAAGGAGACACACGGCAGTTACACAGACACGGAGTGAGGGGACGGAGAGAGGCACGGTCACTGACACACACAACACGGAGCAAGGGAGGGTGGGTGCAAGACAACACACGTGGCAGAGCAGCACGCACTCTCGACCAGCGCGTGAGAGACACTGAGTGAGTCAGCTGGCTCGACCCCTCAGTCCTCACACACACACACACCACCAGTCTCACTACTACCTGTCTCTCTCTCTCTGGGCGGTGCCATCTGTCTCCACGGTACCACTGCCTCTCTCTCTCTGGGCGGTGCTATCTGTCTCCACGGTACCACTCTCTCTGGCGGTGCTATCATCTCCACTCCTCTCTTCTCTTCTGGCGGTGCTACCTGTTCCACGGTACCACTGCCTTCTCTCTCTCTCTTCTCTCTCTCTCTCTCTCTCTTCTGGGCGGTGCTACCGTCTCCACGGTACCCTGCCTCTCTCTGGGCGGTGCTATCTGTCTCCACGGTACCCCTGCCTCTCTTCTCTTCGGGCGGTGCTACCTGTTCCACGGTACCACTGCCTCTCTCTCTCTCTCTCTCTCTCTCTCTCTCTTCTGGGCGGTGCACCTTCTCCACGGTACCCGTCTCTCTCTCTCTCTCTCTCTCTCTCTCTCTCTCTCTCTCTCTTCTCTCTGGCGGTGCTACCTGTCTCCACGGTACCACTGCCTCTGTCTGTCTCTCTCTCTCTTCTCTCTTCTCTCTCTTCTGGGCGGTGCTATCTGTCTCCACGGTACCACTGCCTCTCTCTCTCTCTCTCTCTCTCTCTCTCTCTCTTCAAGTGGTGCTACCTGTCTCCACGGTACCACTGCCTCTCTCTCTCTCTCTCTCTCTCTCTCTCTCTCTCTGGGCGGTGCTATCTGTCTCCACGGTACCCCTGCCTCTCTCTCTCTCTCTCTCTCTTCATGGTGCTACCTGTCTCCACGGTACCACTGCCTCTCTCTCTCTCTCTCTCTGGCGGTGCTATCTGTCTCCACGGTACCCCTGCCTCTCTCTCTCTCTCTCTCTCTCTCTCTCTCTCTTCATGGTGCTACCTGTCTCCACGGTACCACTCTCTCTCTCTCTGGTGCTACCCCACGGTACCACTGCCTCTCTCTCTCTCTCTCTCTCTCTCTCTCTCTGCGGGTATTCATTCCACGGTACCTCTCTCTCTCTCTCTCTCTCTCTTCTGCGTTGCTATTGCTCCACGGTACCACTCTCTCTCTCTCTCTCTCTCTCTCTTCTGGTGGTGCTACTCTGTCTCCACGGTACCACTGCCTCTCTCTCTCTCTCTCTCTCTCTCTCTCTCCTCTCTCTCTCTCTGGGGTTATCTGTCTCACGGTACCCCTGCCTCTCTCTCTCTCTCTCTCTCTCTCTCTCTCTTCGCGGTGCTACCTGTCTCCACGGTACCCTGCCTCTCTCTCTCTCTGGCGTCTGTCTCCACGGTACATGCTCTCTCTCTCTCTCTCTCTCTCTCTCTCTCTCTCTCTCTTCTGGCGGTGCTACCTGTCTCCACGGTACCACTGCCTCTCTCTCTCTCTCTCTCTCTCTCTCTTCTGGCGGTGTGCTACCTGTCTCCACGGTACCACTGCCTCTCTCTCTCTCTCTTCTTCTTGCGGTACCTGTCTCCACACGGTACCACTGCCTCTGGTGCTATCTGTTCCACAGGTACCCTGCCTCTTCTCTCTCTCTCTCTCTCTCTTCTGGGCGTACCTGTCTCCACGGTACCACTGCCTCTCTCTTCTGGGCGGTGCTACCTGTCTCCACGGTACCACGCCCTCTCTCTCTCTCTCTCTCTCTCTCTCTCTCTCTCTTCTCTTCTCTGGTGCTACCTGTCTCCACGGTACCACTGCCTCTCTCTCTCTCTCTCTCTCTCTTCTGCTGGTGCCACCTGTCTCCACGGTACCACTGCCTCTCTCTCTGTGAAGCACGGTCTCCACGGTACCCCTGCCTCTCTCTCTCTCCCTCCCCTATAAAATTCGTATCTACCCGTTGTTTTAAAAGATGTATTCCCAACAACAACAAAAAATCATTGTT